GAAAATCTGAGACGCGAGGGGTGGAGTAAAATTGAGTTTTTGGGGTACGCAAAGCAGGTTAGGGATTATTTTTGGAAAATTTTACCTGTTACATCTAGAAATTGTAATCACAATCTCGCGATGCACTCTCCTAGTCTACGAAGAAAGTTCGAGCGTATGTCTTTCCATAACTCTACAAGCCACGATAGCTTTTTCATGATAATAATATAAAAACTACTTTTTTTCGACTTCGGTTATTTTCTTCTGTTGAAAGAAATATGTAGGTGATTAACGAATTAAATTAAGTAAATATAGTAATAGATACCTTCTTCTTCTCATGCCTCATCTGTTTCGGATGTTGGCGATCGCGTTAATTGAACTTTATTGGCAACACATCTGAATAGCTCGGTGGAGGTAGCACCGTATCATTTGCGAAGATGTGCCAACCAGGAGATTTTTCTTCTACCCGGGCTTCCTTTAGTTCCACTTTGCCCTGCATTATATTTTGGAATAGTAGATATTTATTTTCATTTCTCATGACTTGCCCAAAGTATTCAAATTTCCCTTCAATAATTGTGAGTAAGAGTTATGGCTGGCATCTCATTCTGTCCAGGACTTCATTATTTGTTGAGGCAGTCCAAAGTATCTTCGGGATTCTTCTGTAAATCCACATATCAAAGGCAATGTTTCATTATAGTGAAAATGCTTCGAGCTTTGCGACATTTGATCTCTACAGAATGATCCCATGCTTCAGATAGACTAATTCATAAATAAGATTTCTCAACCCTTTCGACGACTTCGTTATTGATGAGCAGTTCTGTATATGGTGTTGGAATTTTACTGATTATCATGTACTTTGTCTTTCTGGCATTGAGTTCTAGACCATACTCGTTGCTGGTAATATTAAGAGACCTCACTATTCCTTGTAGGTTCTCGAGGCTGTTAGCTATCAAAACAGCGTCGTCGGCGTAACAAATGTTGCTTATATTTTCTCGATTTATCTTTATGCTACTTCGAATTGTTGACATCTATCGAACGCCTTAGTGTTAACATCTCTGCATTGCTGAAAGAGGACTTGTACTGCAAAGAATGACTCGCGTGTTGCGGGGCAGATAAGCAACACTCCTGTTCGACTCGCATTTTTTTTAGATTCGGTTGTGAATTATTTTGAGCAACACCTTCAACACATGGCTCAAAAAAATTGGACATTAGCCATTCATCTGGAATAATCCCAGTATTGTAAATCTTATTCAAGAATTGTGTGCGTGTTGTGCGATGACATCTGGGCCCAGTGCTTTTCCCCTTCTTGGTCCTCTGAATTGGTTATAGCTGGACCTGCATTTATGGATATTGTTAATGGATATACAGAAATAATATTGAGCATCAGGATACTATTTAAAAAAACTTCTAGATTGCTGTTGCGTCGGTTGTTGTTGAGTTGAACTTGCTGACGTTTCGCCAGTCGTCCTGTTAGCTTCCTCAGAAGAAGCTAATAGGATAAAAATAGTACTACAGTACCCTGAATCAGTTTCTTTGAAAAATTCATTAGCATTGTTAAAATAGATCCAAATTTCACTTAATTTTAACATGTAACAAAAGAAGCATAAGCATCATATCCCAAATTCGTCTACCATTTTCCGATAGTAAAAGTTTTATTTACAAGAGGAAGTATATCATTTTAAATACAATTTTTCGAAAACCAATTCAGTTTAAGGCTTTGTGCAGGGCGGTTATTCAAATTTCTGGAAAAAAAGTTCCGCTTCAGAACTTATTAAAACCGGTTGTTTCGCTACACGAAAGCTTTCAAGTTTTCGTGCCCGCTTAAACGGGGTTTAATTTTAAGAGTCTGGGCTAACGGTTTATTAAAAATAGAGCGCTTAATATCGGAATAAAACGAAAATTTTAATTACCCTGTTTCTCGCTGCTATAATACGATTACTTATAGTTTGGGGCCTCGCAAAATCGAGTAATATATCCCTCTTATATACACCGCGGCGGGCCGACAACGTATTTTCTGGGATCATATTTCATATTTAAAATCTGGGCGCATGCTGGCAGGATACGCGTTACCGGGGGGGCCAAAAGGGCGTTAATATTTATTAAGGGGTATCGTTACATTCGACCCGATGCACTTCCGCCCCAATGCGGCGGCCTGCTTTCACGTCATTCCGATACGCTAGAACCAAAAAAAACCCTCAAAGGTGTGTGTACGACAATACCTCCTAATTCGCGTCCGGTGGACCAATTTTCGAGTGAAACGAGATCAATTGCCGTAAGCCCCGTATCGTTGTTTTTTACCCGGACCGGCAGTAGGGTTCTAGGGATAAGCGACACAATCAACATTCGAGCTGATTACGCTCATCTAAAATCCAATTATAAGCCGTACCGCTTGTTTCAAAATTCATTGGATGACAAATTAAAGAATACCCTTTTTTAGGGCCGGGTCAGAGCAAGAGAAAAGGTTCGGGTCACGGCTTAGAGATTTGCAAGGGGCCACGCGTGATGGGACTCGGGCAGGGAAGTTGAATAAACCGGAACTTTCCCGACTGTCAGAATAAAATAAAAGAGGCAAATTAGAAAAAAATGGGAGAAATTGACTAGGACGTAATATGGCTTTAATTACTAGCTTTGAGATTAATATCAATTATGAGAGGCTAAAAGGAACGCGAGGTGGAGACCAAACATCTGATGCGTATGAATATGAAATGGATCTAAACGGTAAAACGTCCCAAAAAATAATATGCCAAATCTAACTGAAATATGACTCTAACACTATGTCGCTTTCGCGTCCAGTATAATTCAGCGATTCTGATGTCATAGTTTTGGTTAGTTAGGGCTACTCATAGGTAAAGTCTGTTCATAGATATAAGAAAGTGATTAACTGATACGAATTAAGGAAAAACCCGGGAAAGCTGTTAGGATGAAATATGGCCGAACAGGTCCGTACTTTGCTTAGAATTTGATTATTTGGGGTTTTGTTATGAAAGGTACTAAACCTTATTTATTTATTTATTTATGTATTTATGTTTAAATCTAAGATAAAATTACAAATTATTTTTATTACCTACTTAAATTACTTAAAATTATTCATATAATATATCAGTATCACTATCGCTATCATCGCCTGTTATTATTTGTTCTATTTATTTGAAATATGGATATGGTGATGTCTTCATGGTAATCCAGAGAAGAATCTTTAATATTTTTCACAGACAGAGAAAGTGCATTTGGAATCCAACCATCTTTAGAGCCAGCATGGAAAATAGTTATTCTTTTACCTCTTTTTGATGGCGCGTTTGTTTTACACTTATCAGTTGAGTCAACCCAATCTTTTTCCGGGGTGTCATAAGTGTCGAACCAGGTTTCATCCAATTCAATAATTGGCCTTTGTGGTTCTCTGTAAATCCTAATTTTTTCTACATATTCTGCCACATTTAACACCGGTTTCATCTTTTTCAAGCCTTTCCAAGCATCTCCTGAGATACACTAGACTCGCACATATTTTGCATAATTCGCACACGATTCAACACACGCTGTATTACACACGAAATAAGAATGATTACTAATAAACTTAAACTAAGTAGTATACCAAACCAAAGAATATAGGTAGGTATAAAATTATTCTCTATTACGGACCACAATTTCACCTGAATTTAAATTCCGAAACTTTAGGTAATAATCTTGATGCATTGTATGTTAATGACCACCCTTGGATAATCCCATTAAAAAGCAATTGGTCACTTTCTTATATCTATGAACAGACCATACTCTGAAAATTATAACGTACCTGTTGAGTTATGTAAAAATTCGCTCGAAAAGGAAACTTCTTAAAGTCATATTAGAAGTAAACCTAATTGAGAAGTTCCAAGTTTATACTTAAGTGCAACAAATTACATCGAGCGTCTCATGCTATCTGCAATTACGTAATTTCAAAATGAACCTAAATAAATTCTTAATAATCTCTGTCGGATGAGGAATTCGTAAGTACTCGGATAGTGTGGCTTGAAAAATTGTAGCCATTGTGACTGCCTTCTCTCAATTTCTACTATATTTTAAATTGTAAATCGGCCTCCAGTTATTTCGTAATAAGTGAAAACTAGCACTAAATCAATAAGTATGCGTCAGTGCTGAATAGTTTCTTTATAGATTTATCGCATTATATGTTAATACTTATTTGTTAATGTGATTGTATACAAGAACCTGCATCGAGTATGTCAAAAAATGTAAAGTTAGGTAACAAACCACCGGCTGTAAGAGAAATGAAGACATTTTTGACGTCCTTTTTCTATCAAAGACATGCATATCAAGCTGCACGCAAATTACTTCTAGTGTACCATAGCCACATGTCATGTAAAAATCACTAAGCGCCTGTCATCAAGCATACTTAATAGCGCTAAACGAAATTTTCAAAAACTTTTTCTTTTCCTTTCTTCGGCTGTCATCGCCATTAGCGTTTAGTTTAATGTTGGCGGCCAAATCCATTGTACTCGGTCGCTATTTCATGTTCCTCTCTGAATCCAAACTATTTACTTAAAATATGGCAAGCGATTGTGTAAAATTTTGCAAAGGGCTTTCGCCGCCTAAATCGCTTTACGTCCGCGGGGATTTCGACTGGAAATCAGTCCTTGTTAACTCTAATTGCACGCTAGCTGAAGTCGCGTATGAAAGACCCAGTTAAATTCGTCTTGGCGATTACGTCGCAGGGCGGGGACGTCGAAATGGAGGGGGAATGATTTAAGTTGTAATTAGGTGTCCGTGTCGATGCGAATAGATTTGAGCGTAAGCAAATTATTTCGCGTTCTACGTTTGCCTCAGTTAATAGTTCAGGTTAGCCGAGAGCTACGCCATTTTTGAAATAACGTAGATGGTTTTGGTGTAGGTTATGCGCGTTGACGTAATATAGAGGGCAGGAATCTGAGACGTTCGATGCCGTTATAGGATAACAGACTTGAAATACCGAGTGCTCCTGCTGCTGACATATTTTCTCGTAAATATGGGAACTAAATTACTCCGGGACTTACATTAATATTTCTTCCGGGATCGTTTTCGATCAGTTGCCTGGCGAGATCCTTGCAGGACTTTCTCGACGCGGGGGGCACCTTCGAATCATCTTCCCAATACCTCGAAGGAGCGTGACCGTAGAGGGCAGCAGGAGTTGCGTGCGTTATCCTCGTGTTCGTCACTATGCCTGTCGATTTTCCTGCAAAATAAATGAAAAATGAAATTTACGGAGGGTCAGGCCTGTGAAATATGATCCAAGGTGATAGTCAGAATAATCAATCACGAGTATTTACAAAGAGGTACTCTGTTCAAGTTCACTACTTTGGTATAGCGAGAAATACTATGACCAAAGCGACACAGTTTATGCAGGATAATTAATACAAATTCCTATTACCTCCTACAGGAAAGATTTCTCCTAAGAGTTCAGTGATGAAAGACAATGAATGTTAAGTAATACATTAACCCTAGCCAATAGAGACGGACACTGATGACGATCTTTTACTCACACATAACGCTCGCTGCTTTCCAATTCATCGAATTATAAAATTGACCTCCGGGGATGAAAAGGGAGAAAAAAAAACGGCGATACATCATCCGTGCGGGTTCATAAATCTTGTTCGCATTGTCGTTTCGTTTCCGATAAAATCGTCGGCAACCGTAACAAACTTGTGGATCGTCCGCGTTATTCTTTCGCAACGGGTTGGCTCCTATTTTTTCGATCATTTGTGTTTAGGTACGTGCTCGGAAGTGATGGGAAAACGGACGTGGATTCAGTTCGATCGCGTGTCCTTTGGATGATGGAGTATTCTATCTGATAATGGAGTTCTTTCGATGTTAGAGCCGAACAATTTTAGTCTAGAGTTCCTCGGGGCAAAGTAATTCTCATAGTACATGCGAACTCTGAAGCTTATTGGGAAGATAACGCTTTGTTGTTTTCTGCAAAAGATGTGAGAGAAGTTGACCACTTCGAGAACACGATAGCAGATCTTTGCTTCCCAGTATTCCATCAAACCGTGTTGTCGCACTGGACAACACCAGCAACCATTCGGCAGGAAAGGAAAAAATACCGAATTCATCATCGTCTAAAGAAGTCATTCAAATTTTTTTGCTTGAAAATGATATGTATTTTGAAAATTGCTATACAAAGAAGCAGCTATTGGAAGTTCTTAAGAAGTTTGATAAGAAGTATAATACGGAAAAGTTGGCCATGGAGCGGTTATGCAAAGTTGTTCGTCTTCCACCATATCACTGCAGTTTTAATCCGATAGAATTCAGGGGCAATGGAATTAATTAGAAGTGAAGTAGAAAAAATATCTGCTTCTAGTTGGAAAAATATGTAGAACATGTCATCGAAGAAGAAAATGTTTACAGAAATCGACTAGAATAACTTTTTTTTTATTCTAACATTATTTTATAGCTAAATTTATAAAAATTTATAAATTTATATTTATATTAAACATTTTAAAGTAAAAACAGATTTTCCACTGCATGAACTAATAATAATCGAGAAAAGTACCGAAGTACGGTTCTGGAACATCATTGAGAATTTGAGAATCTATTCATTGAGGGTTACAGAGAGAAACCCAAGCGAGGCAGGCCTGCGATTAGATCCCGATAAGGATTTACCAAAGTTAAATACCAGATATGTCTCTTTCTCTTAGGTGAACTATACTCTTGATTCTGGTGTAACCAGAAATGAACTATTAACACACTAATAAATTTTTCACATATATAGAGGGGAGAGAAAAAAATTCTAAAAATGCCTAACGGAACACAACGCACGAATAATTTTGAATATGACGTGAGCGCTAGACTCTATACCCCTAACATAGCCGAATACGGTTTATACTGCGCATCCGGACGTGGAACATTGGCAAAGATTTTTCGCGAGAACCCGAATGGAACACATCCAAATTTTCCCTCCGAAGGTGTCTTAGAACTGGCCGTACTATACTACTAACAATATTACCAAAAAAAATATAGTGGACATTCCTGTAACTCCAAATGGTCTAAGAGTGAGTTGTAAATAATTTTTATGCTTCGTAATATATTTTATGAGCCACTTAAATATTTGTAATTACTTTTCTCGGAGGTTAATGGCAAAGATGATGTGTATACAATTCCCTTCCGAGGATACCGTTAATTCATAAAGATTAACGACACAGCACGAAGCATTCTCAAGTTGGAGCAGAAATATGAATATTCAACGTAGTTAAACGGCTCAGAAAAACGCGAAGCTTTTAGTATGCTTTTCGGTCGATTAACGCGGCTACGGTAGCGATCCTTTCACGAACATTCCGGGCAGGTACGAATTTTACGCGTTTCGAACCTTACAAGGTGTGCAATTTGTTTTTGACACGACGGGAATGAAAAATCAAACCCGCGCCTTACCAAAAAATTCGCCGTATCTCTCATTTGACTAATGCTTCTGACCTGGGGGCTCCGGCAAAAAATCTCCTTAGAAAACTCGCGGGCACACAATATGGAAGGTTTCGTTCCATTTGCCAGGATGTTTTCACCGCGAGTATTGGCGAGATGATTTATTTGCTACCGAAACGAGAATGCCGGATTTGAATTACATTTTTTTTTTGAGGAAAGGGGATGTTTACTCGAACCGAATCAAAAAAATCTCGCCAACAATTTGTCGTGGTATATAAAACGTTGTTACGTTCGGTAATATTTGCAGTAAAGTAAAGGGTTACCTGCGTATCTACGTCTTATAATTTAATTGCAATTCTCGTGCTAATTCCATTCTGGTTTGTCTCGTACTTTAATTTAAATCGATCCTAATATATGATTTTGATTGCTTTCTTTTTCTTTATTAGTTGTGTATTACGGACGCTGCTTTTTGCTAGTGACTTTACGTTGCGAATGTTATCCTTTGCCTCTGTGTTCGGATGCATAAAAATGTAATGGTACATCGGCAGAATATCGAAAAGACTCGTTTAACTTTAGTATTGCTCTAGAAGCTTGTTTTAAAATCAATCTTTGGGCAGTAAATAATAATGAATATTATTGATCTGACCAAAAGGTTATTTATTCATACGTCAATGAGCCGGTATATGACATTCTTCGTTGGTTACCGCTACGTCTAATATGCAACAAGTAAAGCGCGTTAAGTTTTTATTTATTTTATTTCGCTCCCTAAATGCCGTAGCTGCCACCATGCCATTTATTACAGGGTCATAATTTAATATTTCTTTGCATTCTTTTCTTTTATTAACAATTAGTTCTTATTTATTTTGTTAAAGCTATCTTTATCTTTATCTTTACCAGTGGCGCCCAATAACCCACTCCTACTCTCCGGTTAACTTAATTTATTTTGGTTGTCTTCGAGCTAGGGCATAAATTTACACACACCTACACATCCGTTTTGACCTACTTGATGCTTTAATCATTGACCTTATTAACTTTGTTAATATTAAAATTTCAATTTTCAAAAAACAAAAAACCTGGCAACGTAAGTATTCGTGATGTCTTCAAAGCGCCATATATATTTGCATCCGAATACCAAACAATTTCATAAGCTCGGAATGAAGCAAAACCGCCGGCGTTCTTGAGATCGTAATAGCAACCGTGCTCCGGGACGTTCAAGAGATAAACATCCAAATTTAGCTGGGGAACGATATTTTTTGCTGTAATTGAAATATGAAAATATGCCCTTGCTAGGGCATCCGAATACCCTCTCGAGCGTAACTCGGGTAGAATAAATTGTTATTCCAACAACGGAGGTCCTTACAGTTCCGGCGTTTTAATTGAAGCAGATTTGTATCTTAGCGAGCGTTTTACCAAATTCATTACCAACTTAATATACTTAAGGGGTAAGTAGATGTAGGGACTATTACGACGCTGCGTTGTTTTCTATCTTTTGTTAATTTTAGCGAGATATCTCTCCACGGCTACCGTAGCGAGCCGTTCACTTTGCAAGTAGTATAGTAAAACAGGTTCAAAGCCACTTTTGGTGTGAATTGCCATAAATGTTGGGGAAATCTTTGAGTTTCGTTTATTATCAACCAGTTTAGTGAAGGCGTGGGTTTTATAAATGCCACTGGATTAGTTTCATTTGAAGTTAACCTGATAATTATTGTAATCTCTAATAGGAAATATTTTACATTTTATTAAATTCTGTTTTATTCTTACTGTGAGGCAGCTGCATTTTATTTCCTTTGTCCATGGAGATTGGCGTACTTTAAATAATTGATGATACACATTTGTTATTTTAAGTATAAGTAACTTCAAATGTCCCAGGTCGGTGTTGGGAAAATCATTGTTTTTTTAAATCATGAATTTTTTGATTTTATTTTTCTTCCTGAAATTTCATAAGAATATGTATTTTTCGTTTTTTGGTAGCAATTACAAAATATTTTAAAGCCACTATATACAATATAGTACAATATACACCTTCCTTTTAGACACTCGAATGTCGCCTCCAGTTCCACAAAACTCATGACAAATTTGTCAAGGCTTTGGAAATCTCCACATAGTCCAAACAAAGAAAAAGAAAAAAAAAATGAAAATCAGTCTAATTTGAGTAGTTTCGTAATGCGAACATCAACTGCTGAGAAAAAAAAGATTGACAAACAAGTAGCAAAGGCAATTTTTCCTACTAACTCGAGCTTTCGATGCATTGAAAACTTAAAAAAGTAAGAAAGACTTAAGACCTGGACAATATGACTGCTAGCTAAAATCTTTTGCGGCATATAACGCCGCATACATGGCCCTCGTTAGGAAAAGACGGACTCAAAATTTATAACTTATGACTGCCCTCCATATATCTAGATTTTAGTGTGCAAATACTTACAAACCCCAGACGTCAAAGAATAGCACTAATTTTTTTAAAGTATTTTCCAGATAACCATCTAGCTAGAGCAAAATTCAGCAAAACAGGAGGTAACGCTTTATTCCATCTAAGTGAAGTGCGATGGAATAGCGTTGTTGATTGTACGTCACTCAGTGGGATATATTATATATATATATATATATATATATATATATATATATATATATATATATATATATATATATATATATATATATATATATATATATATATATATATATATATATATATATATATATATATATATATATATATTCTCACGTATTGATTCACGGATGGAAAAATGTGATGACACTATATTCCGGGATATCATCCGTTCGGATGCAAGATTTGCAGGATTCCAGTCGGAGTTCAACGAG